CACTTCCTCTGAGCAAGGCCAGAACTGTCACATCAAACACACTTCAAAGGCCCACTGCCTGCCTAAGATCATTTGTTTCACTATATTTAAATAACAAACATCAACCAAAAAAAAATTCTTGAAGTCTGTTCATCCTCCTTGCTGGTAGTAATCCATCAAAAGTGTGAGGAACATCAAGATCATGCTGCTCTGTACCCATCACAGCCACTTCTGGAAAATCCTGCCATTAGAGGACTCCAGATCTAATAGAGCAATCCTTCTAAATGATTTTTTGAGTTTTTTCTTTGTTTTCAATAGATGTCCATTAAAAAAAATCAGCATATATCGATCTAATCTTCCCTCTCCCAGCTCCATGGGGTCTCTCTAATTTATACAAGCAAAAAAATATACAAATGCAAAGATATTGATGTTTAAGTTGGTATTTTTTTTAAAAAAAGCCTCCAGCAGGTGCACAAATTGTGTGTTTCACAGGGATTTAGAGAGTGTAATCCCCTTAGGCTGCTCTGAAAATTGCAGCCTATTCTTAGTTCCTGCCAGCCCATGTCAGCAAAATGGCTGTTCTTCATTATGATATTTTAATGCTTGGGAGTGTTAATTGAGGTTAAGCTCAGGTTGTACCCAGAATGCTAAAAAAAAATTTAACCTGACAGGAAATGAAAGTTTCCTGAAAATAATATGGAAAAATGTGGGAAAAATTGGAGATGAGATCTCCTTTCCAAGGGGAGATGCAGGCAGAGAAACTGAGCTCACCTACATCCATCCTTGCTCCAGAACCTCTCAGGCCAGGTTGGACAGGGCTTGGAGGACCCTGGGACAGTGAGAGGTGTCCCTGCCCATGGAATTGTGTGGGATTTAAGGTCCCTTCCAACCCACACCAGTCTGGGGTTCTGGGACTCCATGACCTGCCCAAGCTCTGCACACCCAGATGGAAACAGAAAATACAGGATCTAAGGTTAAAAGGATGAAGCTCTGGAGCACTGGCTCCTCCTCAGTGGACATCAGAACAATCTCATCCAAAACAGGCTGAAACTCCAGGAATAACCCTGGGAGCCCCACCAGGCCAAACCCAACTTCCATTTCTCCAAAAAGGCGACAGATTTTCTGTAGGAAACTGCCTTGTGAAAGACTTGACATTTGAAAGAATTTATTTTTACCAGAAATAACAACTGGTTTACTAATGAAGGACAAAGTTTTGGTCTCTCTCCTACATGGGAATAGTTTCTAAATTATTTTTAGGAAGAAGGAAAAAAAGCAGCTTACTCAAACACTGCATGGCACAAGGAAAGCATCATCACCCAGAACTCTGCTCTCTCCTTTTTCCTGGGATCCAGATTGTGCTCTCAAATCATTCCCAGGAGCCAAAACTGATGGAAACTCTGTTTTTCAGGAAGTCTGCACTGAAAATCAACCTCATTGCCTAAAATCTGCATGGCAATGCTGAGCCAGTAGTGAAATCCTTGCTGGAGTGAAGAGATGAATTCCATGCAAGTGTTTGTGTAGATAATTATGTGAAAACAAGAAAGTGAAAAGTCCAAAGCCCTGAGGTATCAACAACAAAATTCTTTCATGAGGAGTTTAATTTTTATAGAAATAATTGAATTTACACTGTTCTAACACTCATATAATTCAGTCCTGGCTAAAGAGCTCTGAAACTGCCAGATGGAAACCAAACACTGGGACACCATGGAGTGTTCTTGGGGCTTTCAGGGAATTCTAACAGGATCACTCAAAGAAGGAAATAATAGAAAATATGCAAAAATCATCTCTGAAAAGCTAAAAGTACTCAGTAAGGAAAAACTGCTTTAAGGAAATTTAATCAAGAATTAAATCCAACTAGAAAACGAATATATCACTATAAGCAGTGAAGACTGAGAATTGCAAAAATGCTAAAACCAAGCACAGCTGAATGTGGCAGTTGAGAGATCAGGATTTCAAACTCATCATCCAAAAATCATCTCATTTTTAAATAATTACATCCAAGGATGTAAGTATTCATTTTCATCAGCTTAACAAGTCAGCCTTATACCAGCAAATACGCTTTTAAGTATGTGGAAATCTAGAATTATTATGCATTTAAAGACCATCAAATCATAGAATGGTTTGGGTTGGGAAAACCTTTAAAATCACCCAGTTCCAGCTGCTTGCAGGGCTACAGAGATGAATGAAAATGTCCCAACTGGAAAACAACTTTAAACAAAAAACCAAACCAAGCTGGCACCAGCACAGGGTGTTTATGGCTTTACCTATAAAGAGCAGAGCCACATCCCTCTGAAGGCAGCTATTGACTCTTCTTTATGTCCTCAGTAAATAAAGGCCTTCCCCAACTCATCTCTAGGTTTTAAATGTTGTATCTTTAGTTAGAGCTTTTAGGAGCTGATCAATAGCTTGGAAAAAAACCATTTTACAAGTCTCAGGTTCATAGCAGGGACAATTTGAATGTCAGCTTCTGAAAGATCTGAAGAGGGGAAATGAAAATCAGGAATTGCTTCTCACAGAGAGGATAAGAGCAAATATAAACCAGGAGTGGGGTTTTCCCATAAGGAAGAGCACAGCAAATGGACATTTTGCTTTGTGTGAATTCCTCTTAATATCTCAAGGAGAGTGGGTTTGATGCCATTTTGGTTTTTGCTTTTTTTTTTTTTTCTTTTTTATGTCCTCTGTATTCTCTGCACATATATTTGGAGCTCTGTAACGTATTATATTAATACCTAATGTACCAAGTAACTTTGCATGACTTTTCCCTAGACATAAACCAGCAAAATTCCAGAACTCCAAGCCCTGAGAAACACAAGACCCCTATCCTAGGTTGGTTGTGCCTGACTACCAAGGCTGAGAACAACTCTTCAAGATAAATTTCATGGATAAAGTACAGCTCAGTGCCTAACTCCAGAACAGGGACTTAACCCGGAGAAAATTGCACCACCACCTCTCCTCCTAATTAGTACATTCATCAATTACGTTAATTTCCTGAAACTTATAAAAATGTACTCAACACTGGGAGGGAAGACTTTTGCAGGCATCTTTCCATAACCGCCCCTGAAAGACTTCAATAAAAATCCACTTTTCTATTACATCCTACCCTAAATTAATCTCAAATTTCATTTTCCAGGTTGGGAAAATGACAGCAGGTTTAGATGGGATATTGGGAATTAGGAATTGTTCCCTGGGAGGGTGAGGAGGGGCTGGGATGGAATTCCCAGAGCAGCTGTGGGTGCCCCTGGATCCCTGGCAGTGCCCAAGGCCAGGCTGGACATTGGGGTTGGAGCAGCTGGGACAGTGGGAGGTGTCCCTGCCATGGCAGGGGTGGCACTCAGGGGGATTTGGGGTTCCATTCCCACCCAAACCATTCCATAGTTCCATGATGTGGCTTTTGTGTGATGTTAAAAATCAGCAATGTTGGTAATTGGAGCATATTCCTCTGATTAAAAAGCAATGTTGAGGCCAAAATAACAACCACCATCTAGAACAGCAAGAACTCCACTTTCTCTTTTGCTTTAAGAAGGAACAAAAAGTCTTAAAAAAGCAGATTCACCCTCTCATGAACTTGTGTTGGTGCCACCACAGCGCCAGGAGCTGCACCCAGAGCCCAGAGCCTGCGGCTGTGCCACCACCCCAGCCACTGCTAATCCTTAAAATCATAAAGAAAAGTGACACAGGCCCAGCTGATCCTTTCCTGAGCTCCACAAACAGCCTGCAGCACCTCAGACATGCTGATTCTCCATCCTGGGCACAGGCGCATCAAACACTTGGTGCAGAATTTCCCATTAACGCTTGATATTACATAGGCTGATATTTTGTCAGGTAAAAATTAGGCCAATTTTTTTTTTTTCTAATTTTTTTTTTAAATGGATTTTTTAATTTTTGCTCATTGTCAGGGCAGCAGAGGAGCTCTGTCCCTGCAAGGGCAGGGAAGGGCAGAGATGCCCCTGGTTAAGCACAGCAGCCCTGAATAATTGGAGGTCAATCAGCTGAACTGCCTGCGCTTGAGGCAGAACCTCATTCCCTGAAGGAATCCTGACTTGGATCTATTTTCCACATCTCCAAAGTTCCCTGGACAAATTATTTCCCCACTTCTTCTAAAAACAACTTTGAAGAAAGGTTGCCAGCATTTGTTTGTATGTAACAAACTGAAATTAACTTCAAAAGAGTCTAAATTTGTGATTTTACAAAGAAAAATCTAAGTACCAATGCACACATATTGCATTAACTTCAAAAGAGTCTAAATTTGTGATTTTACAAAGAAAAATCTAAGTACCAACGCACAAATATTGCATTAACTTCAAAAGAGTCTAAATCTGTGATTTTACAAAGAAAAATCTAAGTACCAATGCACAAATATTGCATTAACAATTTTCATTTTAAACTCATCTGCATGCCAGAACATTCATGTTCACAGGCAACTCTTCTATTTTAATGAGATATATTTATTTTAATGAAATTTCTATGTATTAAATAGTACCTGCATACCTTAAAAACCCCTTTTTAATTAACAGTGACCAAGGCAGAGACAAGCACAGGTAAATGAGAAGTCACTGCTGCAAGAGACTTCAAACCAGAGTGTGACAAAGCACAGCTGCAGGCTAAGGGAGCACAGGAAATGTCATTTCAAAGGCATTTTTTTCCTTTTAACACATAAACATCCCTACAACAAATCTTCAGACCTCACTGAGAGGCACAAAATTCCTAAACAGGTCTTATGTTGCATTATTATAGTCTGTATACTCCTCCTGATAGAATGGATTTTGTGTTTTGATTTATTGCGCAATGCTCAGAGTTTGGGTAGAGTCAAAGTGGAGAAAATATTAATCCACCCCAAAGAAGTAATTTCTTAATTTAAATTGAATTTTTGATGCTATTTTCCCAATGTTTGGATTGTTGTATTCAGTATTCAAGGTAAAAAATAATCCTGAAAATCTGATTATTATGAAAATGGTCACGGAAGGCCAAAACTTGTTAAAATAAATAACTTTTTTACTGATGCCATGTTCTTGTCTTTGCAGGCTTTCCTATCGGACCGGCCAGGACACGGCCAATTGTGACACGTGCAGGAACAGTGCATGTATTATCTACAGGTGGGTAAAAATACCAATATTCCATTTTTCCCTAGGAAAAAGCAAAGATTCAGTCCCTAATGCAGGCTCAGCAATTGGCCTCGATGTTCCAATCAACAAAACAGAAATTTAACTCCATTAAAGTCATAAAATTCAACATTTGTGGAAATTTAAATCACCAAGAGATGATTGTGGGCACAGAGCTGTGGGATGGGAGGTGTTACAAGGAGTGAGCTTTGTTTTTAAATTGCTGGAGGTATTTCTGATTTTCTGCCAACAAGTCAACTTCAACTTTACTTTTATACACTTCTGTACCTACTTCAGATTTATTTTTATGGCAATAACAACTTGGGAAGTCACTTGGAGAGAGGGTTTGTGAAGCAAAGAGAACCAGATACAGATCCCATCTACAGTTTCAGAGTAAAACCAGGGATGGATGGGATTTTGGGCAGGAATTGTTCCCTGGGAGGGTGGGGAGGGGCTGGGATGGAATTCCCAGAGCAGTTTGGCTGCCCCTGCATCCCTGGCAGTGCCCAAGGCCAGGCTGGAGCACCCTGGGATAGTGAAGTGTCCCTGCCCAGGAGATGGAATGAGATGAGCTCTAAAATCCCTCCCAACACAAACCATTTAATTTTCTGATTTTATAAACTGGCATTCCTACCCAGTTTGGGGTTTTTTTTGGCACATCCAGTGAAGGAATAATAGGCAATGGGCATGAGGTGAAGCCATCATGAGGCTGACAATGTTTCACCCTGACAGCTTCATTGTCCTCCTGCACTGGAGTCCCAAAAAATCCACCTGACTGTTTGCAGGGGAGGGGAAAACAAACGTGGCTCAGGGTTTCAGCAGATCAGGCAGCGCAGCACAAATGAAAATGCACAAGATGCCAATTCCAGTGCAGACAAAACTCAAATGAAGGCACCAATGTAGGATTTCCCCCCTCACTCCTTAATTCGCTGCTCAGCCAGCTTTAGACAGAACAGCTGGAGCTATTTATTTATGAATTTTCTCTTCACTGCACAGAAAAAAAAAGGAGAAAAGGATGGAAACCTCCAGCTCCACTTACAACCGACCAGAACAGGGCCCTGTGCAGGGGCAGGAACCAATTAATGTCTTTGTTCCTCCTCTGCAGCCAAGTTCAGAAGCACAGAAACACCCAAAGCCTCCTGTGCCTCCCTTTTGCTGTGCAACTCCTGCCCCAGAGCAGCCTGGAGGTAACAGCACAGCACAACCCCAGCAGGGAATTCTCCTTGTTTCATTAGCAAGGGAAAAACCCAACTAAGACATTTTTGTAAATCTTCATTTCTACTCAGTGGATTTCAAGTTAAGGAAACTTCCAGCTTCCATTCTTGCATTCAATGGGAATGAAATCCAGAAAAGCAAGTTGGGAGAGTTTTCCTGCTGAGAGAGGGCAGGTCCTGCTGCCATTCCCACCTGGAATGATTTGAGCAGGTCCTGCTGCCATTCCCACCTGGAATCCCTTTGGGCAGGTCCTGCTGCCCATTCCACCTGAGATCTCTTTGGGCAGGTCCTGCTGCCATTCCCACCTGGAATGCTTTGGGAAGGTCCTGCTGCCATTCCCACCTGAGATCTCTTTGGGCAGGTCCTGCTGCCATTCCCACCTGGAATCCCTTTGGGCAGGTCCTGCTGCCCATTCCACCTGAGATCTCTTTGGGAAGGTCCTGCTGCCATTCCCAGCTGGAATGCTTTGGATATTTGCCTCAAGCCCTGTTTGCAGGGGATTTTTGAGCAAAAACCAGCTCAGCTTTGTGCCAGCTGAGGAAAATTCCTGCTGCAGGCAAGAAATCAGAGAGCAGAGGCACAGCAAAGCAGGGGAGGCAGGAGCAAAGGGGATTATGGAGACAGGATAAGCCAGAAGGGATAAACCAGGAATTCACTGATAAAAGCAGCCCTGGGATATCCTACAGGAACTCTGAACACCTCTGGGAAAAGGGCAGCAGCTCCTGAGTCAGGCTGGATTAAATCCAGATTTCCAAGGGTTTGCATGGAAAACGCTGCAGGGAGTGACCCGAGTCCTCTTTAGGGCAAAACAGCTTTTAGGAACAGAAATTAAAACTGCTCAAGCTGCCAAAAATCCCTGGGTTCTTGGAAGGCACTGGACCTGTCACAGCAGGAGGTTCTTAGTCTTGAGCTCTTTTTCCCAATTAACACAGGAGAGCCTTAAATATCAACATAAATAAATAAATATATGATTAATTTATCCCATATAAATATATAATATATATACTTCCAAGTATATATGTGTAATATATATTCTATATATAACTAATTATACTCTATACAATTACATATAATACAATAATAATAGTAAATAATATGTTACTATAATAGTAAATAAATATGATATTATAATAATTATATATATAAATTTATTTTATCCCATAAGGGCATTAATATATAAATAATGCCCTGATGGGATAAATCGATATTTAAACAGAAATCCTTCACTTTGCCTTAACTGACTGTGTCGGTTTTTGGATTTCGATTCAATTTTGAACATTCTAACACTAAAAAAAGTATTTACAGCAATTTCAAATCTTTATTTTCAAACAGCATCTTAAAGGAATTATTAAGTTACCCAAGAGCATCCTGTGGTGTCAGGCAGAGCACAGGTCAGGTAGAAATTCATGAAATTAAATTCTTCCCCCTCAAGATGAATTTCAGAGTATTGATATAATGGAGCACAAAAACCACAGACAGTGGAGAAGGCAACAAAAAACCCCTGTTGTGCTTTAAAGAGTTTTAGCATCCAAAATATTAAAACTGGCAGGAATAAATTCTAAGAAGAGCCTTTTGGGAATACAGTTATTTTGCATATTAAATTTAATTTTCTGTTAGTATTAAAAATCTCTTTTATATTATTTTGTCTTTATATTGAGATGAATAAATATTTCTTAGTACTAAAAAAAGGAAAATCAGATTATTTTCTCATTTTTTAAAATAAATAGGAAACTGCTGAAATATTAAAAGAGTATCAAAAAGACAAATTAGCAAAACCAGAAGAAGCTGCTTTGAAAATCAGAAGGAAAAGAAAGACATTCCCATTTGGATATTTCATTTTCCTCAAAATTCCACTTATTTCTGCAATATGTTCAGGAACTTGGAACTCCCGAGCCAGGAATCACTCACTGCACCAGAGCAGCCACAGCCTTAAAACTGTCAGTAAAAAATATTCTTGGTAGCCATGTTCAGGTAGACTTTAAAACAGAAGCCAAAAATGTGATTAAATTAAAAAACCCCAACCACTTTATCATTTTATCCAGCAGTTTCAATAACCATGAGGTCACAGAACCCTTCCAAAATCCTCTGCTACAAACACAACACAAATTTCTCTCCGATGTTGATGCCCCATGGGCATTTTTAAAGACAGAAAAGTTTAATTGGGGGTATTGCCAGGACAAAGTCAATTTAAACACTGAAGAATTTAAATAAAAATTCTGTATATGGCAATGAATATGCAATTTTTATAGTGCAGTAAAATCTTGCTGTTAGGAAGGAATTGCATTGAAATGCAGAAAATATAGCAATTCTGAAAAAGCACAAACCCAGGTGGAGTGAGAATTTCCCAGCCTCTTTTATTCTGTAATTATCTTTTCCTGGACCTGCCCTTCCTGCTCCTGTTTAATTTCCCATCCCATGTGAATGTTAATCCTTGAGAAGGAGAAAATGGGGTTTCTCTGGAATATTTGGTGCATTATTCTCAGGATTTCAGCAGAAATTATTTCTGGGAAGGAGGATTTTGTGGGATTCCTGCTGGATTTCCCTTCAGGCAGGAAGGTCAGGAATTTCCAACAGCTTTTACAAGGAAATTTCAGCTGCTGGAAGGAAACTTCTGGGAGCTGAAATCCCAGTTTCTGACTTGGAAAGAAAACAAATCCACACTTCACTTCTGTGGTGGAAAAAAAAAAAATCACTCAAAGCTGTCTCAACCATTAATTTGGCTACTTTTTACTCCTTTCTTGATTTATGCTGCTGTGCTTTTACTTTATATTAATTTAAGATGGACTCTCCCTACACAGCAGAAAATATATTATTTAGAATCTATAAAATGCAATTCAGTGCAAGAGGTCAAACAGGTTAAAATATGGGGATAGAAGTTAATCAGGCAGCACAGAGCCCACATGGAAGAAATTCACTTTTAAAGGTTAGATACTTAAATATTAATTATTCAAATTAACAAATGTGGCAATAAAAAAGTGAGCATAAGGCATCAATCCCTAGGATAGCAACAGTGTAAGAAAATCAGGTGGTTCAATGCTGAGAATAGCAATTTTCATCACCTTTTTATTTCCTACCCACATTAATTAATTTACATTTTCTCATCTTATCTCTGGACTATGAGATGAAAAATGGATCTCAAAGGCTCCCGAATGCTGGCAGTGCTTTGGATCCCAGGCTGGGCTGATTTTTGGGCTGAAATTTAGCAGAGATTGCTGGGAAGTGCATTAAGCTCATTTTGAAGTGACGAGTGCTTCTCTGGATCCCGTTTTTCCAGGATGTGAAGCACTAATGCTGTGTCACCCAATTAATGGCACCCACAGGGTGGAATTCTGTCATTCCTGCTCCACCTCCCCATGGTCCAGCTGCTCTGAGAGCCTGGAGGATGAGAGGGGAAATTCAGGTGTCACCTGAGGGGCTCAGGGGAAGGAAGGAGGATTTCCCTGGAGGCAGAAGGAGGAAAAAGCTGCTCAGAACCTGAGCAGGCTCCAGCCCTGGAGGTGTCAAGGGACGAGTGGAGGATGGACGTGGAGCTGCTGGGATGAGCCCAGAGCAGCTCCAGGATGATCAGAGGATGGAGCAGCTCTGCTGTGGGGAAAGGTTGGGAGAATTGGATCAGAAGCTTTGGGGTGACCTCATTGTCCTTTCCAGTATCTCAAGGATACAGATGGAGAGAGACTACAAGAGTCTGAAGGGACAGGACCCAGGGAATGCTCCAAGTGTCAGAGGGCAGGGGTGGGATTTTGGGATGGAATTGTTCCCTGTGAGGCCCTGGCACAGGGTGCCCAGAGCAGCTGTGGCTGCCCCTGGATCCCTGGCAGTGCCAAGGCCAGGCTGGACATTGGGGCTGGAGCATCTGGGATAGTGAAAGGTGTCCCTGCCCAAGGGGTTGGAATGGGATGAGCTTTAAGGTCCCTTCCAACCCAAACCATTCTGTGATCCCATGATTCTCTGAAATGCCTCAGCACCTCCATCCTGAACCCAGATTTCTCTGAGTCAGCAATTCTCCAGTAACCAACAGATCATGAGCAGCTAAAACCTGAAAATGATCCATGACAACAACGCGTGACTGTGCTAGAAAATGAGAAAACCCATCCATATCTCGGAGCTTGTTGCTCCAAACCCTCCCACAGTCCATATGTTTAATCCCAATGGTTCTCACTCCTCAAATTCTGCTCTCAATCCCTCATACAGCTCAACTAAATTAGAAAAGGTTCTCTGCTGCCTGCATGCAAAAGTAAACTCATTAATATATATTGTCAAACACAGAAAGCCAAAAAGAGAAAATTCATCTCCTTGAAGGGGCTCCAGGAGAGCTGGAAAAAGACTTGGGACAAGGGATGGAGGGACAGGACACAAAGAATGGCTCCCAGTGCCAGAGGGCAGGGCTGGATGGGATATTGGGAAAAAATCCTTCCCTGTGAGGGTGGTGCCGAAATAAAATCATCCAAGAGCTGCTAGTTGATTTTATTTGGCCCAGTTTTCCTGGGAAAGACAGCACTGATGTACAGGCAACTGCCCCAAAATGGGAAGTTTTGGTTACAAACCTTCTAAGTCTGTAGTGATTCTGGGGAGAAAACACAGAAATATTTATCACAAACAGAATTTTACTGCTTGTAGTTGTTGATAAAAACAGCCTCTCTGGAGGAAGAATTTGGGATAGCATTAAAGATGGAAAAACTCTGAGTCAGTGCTCCAAATTTAACAATATTTAACAACATGGAGGGAAGTGAAGCTTTAGGATGTCCTGACCAGGTGTGTCAGGCCAAGGTTTGTGCTATTAAATAATATTTAAAATTCATCTCTTGTTTCTGTAGAGCTTGTTCAGAGTTATCAGTCCATTGAAAAATATGATTCTATTATTAAAGAAAAAAATGCTTCTGAAGCAAATAATTCCCATCTCCGTGTGTCATGCCAAGAGAACAGGAGAGTCCTGGACAATTAAATTAATGGAGTTATTATGGGCAGGCTTAAGGGACTAAATGCAAGTTTGAAAGTGAAAAGAGGCACATGGCAGGAGGATATTTCAGGAAAAGGTCATTTGGAGAGAGGACACCTGGAGATGCTGAGGGGACAGAAATAGCACTGAGCAAAACAGGATTGGCAGAGCTGTGACAGGTGACACAATCAAGCTCAGGAACACAGCTCAGTAACAAAAATATCAGGAAGTTCTACAAATATGGAATATTTGCTGCATTTAATCCCTGGAAGTGGCCAAGGCAAGGCTGGACACGGTTTGGAGCTACCTGGGATAGTGGAAGGTTGGAATTGGATGATCCTGAAGGTCCTTTCCAACCCAACCTTTCTGGGCATCTGTCACTGATCATGATTAGCAGTATTTCATATGATTGATACAAAATTAAGGGTAAAAATAGTCAGCTGCAGATAACATAATATGTGATTTAAAAAAACAAAAAAAAAACCAAAACAACAGGTCTTTGTCTTATTTCTGCAGCACAAAAATTAAAGCCTAAGTTTGCAATCAAATAATTTGCCTGATGGAGCAATCCCATTAAAACACCTCCAATGCTGGATAAATTGATGCTGATAGACACCAATCAATTATTCTGCAAAATTTACAGTTCTAAATGCTGAAATAACACAAATGTTTTCTCTTCAGCCTCTTTATACCCTTCGGAAGCAAAATATTTCCCTTGGATGTGAAGAGCTGAAAGCTGATCTGTGCTGCAGCAGCAATAACATGGGGCTTGTCAGATGGACCAGAACTAAGATGCTTTTTTTTTTTTTTCTCTTGAGGTCTATCTTTAATAGAAATTGATTATATAAAAAATTACTCTCTTCAGCAAGGGGGTTTTATAACAATTTCTTTTTTTTACAGCAATTTTCAGCAGCTCTTAAGAGCCTCCCTGCAAGAATCATGTTTGAAAGGAGTAAAAATGAACTCTGGCAATGCCAGAGCTGAAAGGCCTTTTTATTTTTTCCCCAAAAAAAACTGATACTGAGAAAAAACAAAAAACCAAAACCAGATACAACACATGCTAAATGCTGCACTTTAAATGAGATTTTAGGGAGCTCTTGGAGAAGCATCTCCCTCATTCCAAGATTTTCTCTGTCTCACTGACAGAATTCCTGTGCTGGGACATTCCCAATGAGCTGATATACACATCTCAGCACTAAATTCATGTTGAACTTCTCTGACAAAGTGTTTTTTGCCAGCCACACAGCACACAGAACATGTTAGCAGTGAAGATAACATTGTTTCTCCATTCACAAGGAGGGATATTAGGCAGTAAGCTTGGAATGTGATTCTGCACTGATACAGCTGCCTCCTGAAAATTCACCATTCTATACTTCCAGCATTGAGCTGAAATTTTTTTAAATTATCTTTGATTTGGAATGGCTTTTTATTCATTATAAACACAGTAACGGGTAAAATACTCTATGTGAATTCTTACCTAATGTATTTCTTGTCTCTGTTATTGAAGTTCACACAAATCACTGAAATGGCAAAACTTTTGCTAAAAATGGATTTACACTCAAACCAAACACCAAATTAGGCACAGCCAGATGTAAAAAGACCTCACACCTTTCCAGCACCCCTTTCTGGGGCTCCACCAGAGTTCTTCCAGTCAGAATCACCAGCTCTTAAAAAAAAAACAAAGCACAAAATTCTCCTTACCCTTCTCTCAGCATCTCTGATTCCCAAGAGGAAAATAAACCCCACCTAAATCAGCAGATGGCATTTGATGACATTCTGTGCTCAGTTTACAAAGCCTGTGGAAGGTGAAGTCCACCCACATCTCCCCCTGAATATCTTGGAGTCTTTTCCAACCCTGATGATTGTGTTGGAGAATTCCCTGGAAATGGCTGCAGGTGTTCTGTGCCATGTCCTTGTTCTCCTTAAATCAGACAGGCTTAAACTTCAGTTTACAGTAATCTCTTTATGGATGAGACCTGGGGAAGCACATCTCACTTCTCCAGCGGTTCACTCCAAACAAGCAATGGCAGAAATAGCTCAGAAAACGTATTTAGTCCCAATTAAAAGTGAATTCAAGCTCAGGAATGATAACTTCATATTTAGGTAACAATAAAAGCAGCCAGTGCAAATCCCAAGACAGCTCAGCAGTGGAGGGGGACAAGGAAGAAATAATTTAATCCAGGTGTCTAAATTCCCAAAATTTCACCCTTTTAAATTCATCCTCTGATATCCAGAGGCCCCACTGCAACAGGAATCCTTCAAAGGTCCCTTCCAGCCCCAAATATTCTACATAAGACAGGAACAGCCTCAGTGCAGAGCATGGCCAGAGGCTGCTGCACAAACCCAGCCAAAACCACCCAAATTTCTGGGTAGTTCTGAGGGCCAAAATTCAGTTCCCACCATTAGACAGGACTCTTGCTCCATTTCATGCTATGGTTCCGTTGGTTTATAAGGTGGTCTCAAAATGCTCTGCAGCACAAAGCTCAAATAAGGGCTGGAATTTCATCTCAATTGTGGTTCTTAGCTGCTGGAAGGATTTTGTAGCAACAGTGTCTGGAATTCAGGACAGGGATTTTACAGCTTCTGTCTGTTTTCTGAAGGCAAGGATGCACTATAAAGGAGAACTGCTTTTTAATTGATCTATTTATTCCTCACATGTATATGAGTCTATAAATACAACAGGAACTCGAAATTAATCTTCTCCATGGTAAAAGTGGCAAGGAACAGCTGAGGTAAAGAATTTCTGGGACAGCCTCCTTGCTTTTGGCCAAGCTCTCAGCTCTCCCCAAAGAACAAGGATGCAGGTGCCTGACTGCCACCCTGACCTCCCAGAAGGGAGAACTGAGCCTGGAAGCCCTCAAAAATTATTTCTCCACCAAAAAAACAGTTGGATTTCTCATGTTCAGTCACTTCTCAGCCACCTCCATCATAATCCTCAAGACCCTCCTTAACATCAGGGAAAAGATGAACAATCCCATTCCCGTTTTTCTTCTGTAATGTCCCTTTTTGAACTTCTCCTTTCCACTTTCATGCAAGAAGTATTTATTGACTTCCATAAATTAAGCACTTAGACAGCGAGTTAATTAATTTTTTTAATCATCATAATTAATGAGTGCTTTTCTCTTCCCATTTCTAGCGTGGAATTGGATTTTAAACAGCAAGAAGATAAACTACAGCCAGTTTTGAGAAAACTTCATCCTATTGAGGAAACTCAGGTTGCACCTTTGCCTTATTCTCAGGAGAGCTACTCCTCGACTCCCAAGCAAAAATCCAAAACTGAATCCAAAAAGCACGGAAGATGGAAACTCTGGTTCCTTTAACCCAAGTCCATGACGTGTGGAGTTCAAGGCCTTCTTTGACAAATATGTGGAGCTGTATCCATCGTCTCTGATGGGATTTGGTGGCAGGAGCAGCGTCCTGGCCAGGGGCAGCGTCCAGTTCTCACCGCGCGTACCAAAAAGGCCTTCGTAGCGACGGACTCTGCCCAGCAGCACGGGCTTGGGAACCCCCTGCCCACTTCTACTCACAGTTTGCCAATGTGGGATGTAAAACCTGAGTGGAAACTTGGACAAAGATGGGAAGTAAAACTGTTCCCCTCCCCTCCTCAGATCCGAAAGCGCGGCGCTCCGACCCGTTAAGCGTAGGCCGGCATCGTGCTCCCCCAGGAATGGTGGAGGCCTTTTGGGGGTCTGGGTTGTTGTCTCTGCACAGCAACGAGGGGGAAAATCAGCAGCAAGCCTTATGTTTGCAGTGGTGTTGAGTTTTACAGCTCCATGTTGATCGGGGAGTGCAGTTTTCAGCACAGAATTCCTGGACAAAGCACAATTTTTCCCGCGGCCCGCGGCCGCGCCGATCTCCGAGACGTGACTGTGGTGTATTCTCTGCCTTCATGCGATGTAGACTCCAACCAAGCTCTCACATTTCAACCTCATCTCTGGTTTAGCTGTGTCCTCACCACCAGAAGAACCACTCTGCTGCTCAGCCCCAGCAGGGGAGCGGCCAGAAACCTCCCAAAAATCAGGCCCAGCCTTTAAGCACCTCCAGCTCACAGGGTCCAGGCCATGGACAACCCCTCAGTGTCACCTTGGAAAGGTCTCAACCACACAGGAACAAAACCCAACCCCAAAGCAGACCCATCCCAGTCCGGATTGTTGGCCTTTGCCATGGGTTAGTATTTTTTTCTAACAGTCTTTGGAAAAACCTCTCCACTGCTGCAGAAGGCACCAGGAGATGTCCAGGCTGCAGCACTGCTTGGAAGGAGCTGAAATTGGAAATGCTATTTATTTATTTATTGAGCTGCTCAGATGGGTTTCCCAGCTTATTATAATTTATATCTCAATCTATTAATTGTACTCAGTAATTGAAACGCTTAGGAGAGAGATGTGAATCAGATTTTTCCTAATTTGGTTTGGGTTTTTTTGAAATGGCACTAAAAATTTTGCTCTGACTTATAAACTGCAACTCTTCCTTTAAGTATTTGCTACTGCCATTAAACTTGCATCTAAAATGACCATTGGTGGAAAAATTCCTCATGCTAGAAGTGGCCAGGGAGTGGGAACCATGTCTTTTGTTTTGGTTTGGGATTTTTCCTTAAGGATTTCAGATCATTTGAGTGTCATGTGACAAACTGGGTTTGAAATTGCATCCCCTGTAGCAGCAGGAAGGTACAAATTCTTCAGCCTTTAGGTGCAAGGACTGTGATCATTAATTTGCACAGACTAAAAATTTGGGGAAGTGTTTTTCACTGTTTCTCCTCTTAGCTCAGCATTCAATTTACTCCTGAGAGGAAACTGGAGGAAAATAACCTAATTTTTTTTTCCCTTCAAAGAGCAAGAAAAGCAAATTAAAATGGGAAAGGAAATGCAGAAGATGCCTCTGGCCAGCTCAATATTCGCAGTAAACCTTCAAGAGGGCTATGAGTTCTTGCACAGAAGCAAATCCTGAAATCCTCTGGTGGGAGTTGAAGGATTAGGAAGGTGATCCTGTACACAAGGAAGTGCCATTGTTTCATGTGGAAAAAAACCCATATTTCATGTATTTTATATTGTTTTTAACTAAAATATAGAACTGTTTACAAAACAGCCCACACAATATGGCTAAGAAACCCAAATATTTCCAAATCAAAAAATACTTTTTTTTTTTAAAGCAGAAAGGAATCTCAAAAATGGGCAGAAAAAGGAAAATACAGCAGTATTTATTATTAAAAAAAAACATTAATACCTAATGCACTCCTCCATGCTAACAGGCCTAGTGTTTGGGGCTTTTTAAGGAAATTAAACCAAGCATCGCTCCATGGCAATCAATTCCCAAATCCTCAGTGCCACCCCTCAGTAGCTTTGTGTGTGCAGGGACCCTGAGTGATCCAGAGCTCCTGGAATCAGGGGAAAAGAGGGAGGAAACTCCAGCTGGAGAAACAAAGAGCTCAAAGGGAAAGTTCTCACGGCGTGTTCTGTACATGTCCAGGCTATTTTCTTAAGAAGTTGCAAATTTTTAATTTTTTACATTTTTTTAAACCTGGGGAAAGCTGACATTACCATAGAGTCTTGCTTCCAACTGACATCTCGTGTTCTCTGGTACCCTCCGATGTACTTTGTAATAAAATGTTTTTGCAAGTGTGTAAAATGTATCATAATTGTATTGCCTTTAGAATCACTCAGGCTCAGGTTAGATAGACACCAAGAGAAAAAAAAACAAACCTAATTCTTTAGAGCTTTTAGTTCAATGTGACAGAGCTATTTTCACCCTCATGTAGAAGATCTTGCAGGTTCTAATGAGGAAAATGCATTTTTATTTTCAGTGTGGCTTTGCTGGATTCACTGGCAGTCCCCTTCACTTCATACACTGATTTTCTAGCTGCACTTCTCCCATCTCCTGCTTCAAAATACTTTTTAGCCAATAAATACTGCAGTGATTTTATATCCCTTGCTCTTTGCTGAGTCCTTATAATTTCCACACAGCAACAGCTGCATTCTTAGGTTTAGAACTAGGAGGAAAACACTATTCCTGTGAGTAGCACTTGGTTTCTTAAAGATGAAAAACAAAAATAACTGTAAAAAAACTTTTAAAAAACCAGGATAAAGTGAAAAAAACCTGATTAAAACTGGAAAATCCTACCATGGGTACAAAGTGTTTGCTTTTTCTTGCCTAAAATGCAAAACCACTGTCCATGCCTTTGATTTCACTCAATGTTTTAAAGCTTAAATCACTTTTCCCAGTCAAATAGAGTAAATTTTCATGAACTTCCCAACCAAGTCAGCTCTTAGATTACACCAGGACCTGTGTATTACCACACATTATATATTGCTGCTGGAATTGAGCTGGAATTGAACCAGATTACCACTAAAAATCCAACTGCACCAACACCATTTTGTCTGGGAGAACGAAAGGAATCTGCATGAAGATTTTTAATATTCCATAAAAGCCACCTGTGGTTCATTAGAATAACTGGAGTGCTACAAATGTGTCCATTTGTTGAAGTGAGTGCAGCTCCTTGCCATAAATGTTGGTAGGGAATGCAACAGGGATGGTTTGACAACAGAAAAAAAGCTCAGTATTAGTGATGGAATAAAATCATGGCCACCATCAGTTTCAGTGAAATTACCTTGCAATATGTAATTTCAAATGATTTTGAAAGAGAAGAAAACATGTGACTCAATAAAGCAACGTATTTTTACATGGAAGAAGTCTGGTGAAGAAAATGAGGTTTTCTCCCAATTTTGGAATCCATGAAGCCTGACCTGGGCAGATTTTAAGGCACAGGAAGATAATTCACACCCAGATTCAACTCCTGAATAACAACCTGCAGGCCCAGAAGCCTCCTGTGGCCATCAATAACTTTGATTTCAGGCTTGCACCTGTATTTCAAATATTTTATATCCTTCTGGAGAGGCCTGCAGCCTGGAAGTGCTGAGAGATGGACAATCCACCATGGTGACTGATTGACTGATTGATTGATTGATTGATTATCCAGAGCTCCCCCATCAGTGCCACTCTGCTCTACACTCTCCTTGTGCCAGGTGTCACCTGCACCCCACAGAGATTCCCCTCTCAATCTCCTTCCAGAAACCTCAGACAGAGTCCACAAACTCCCTTTTTCTCCTTCAGATGGCTCCTGCCTCATTTCTGTTCTGGTTTCACCTCATCCCCATCCCAGAGCACAGAGGGGAAAGCAGCAAAGTGGAGAAGGTTCCACTCAACAGCAACACCACAAATCCTGTCCAGTGCTCCCCCCTCACACACCCCAATACCCAAAATAACCCATTTTCCCTGCTCACAGCACTGACTTTGTTCCCCATACACCTTTAGATGTCTTCCACTCTCCTTAAGGACATTTTTGGAAGTTAACACCACAGGAACATGGAATGGTTTGGGTTGGAAGTGACCTTAGACACCATCTAATTCCAACCCAATCTTACTCTAAGCCAGGAGATTTCCCTTCAAAAACTACAGAGCTTCCTTTGGGAATGAGGCACATCCCAAGCTGCTGACAGGAGGAGAAGGAGCAGCCATGGATCATTCTGGAGCTGCCTCTGAGGCTGCTCTGTCCTGATTTACTGGAGGAGGCCGAGATGCTGCCTCACGTGGAACCCAACGTTGTCCAAAAGCCACCAGGAAAGGAAAGAGAAGGTTTGAAACCACCCTTCCAAAGGCTCAAGGAAGTTTGCTCTATTTACTTTTTCTTCAAGCAATGTTTTCTTCAGTAAGAAAGGTTTTGTGTTTTTTTCCAGGTGATTTCTCCCTGGGCCAGGAGCAGCAGCAGCTCAAGGCAGGAGCAAACTTAACCTAAACCAGGCAGTTTGGAGCAGCTCAGCACCCTCAGGCTGCATCCTGTACTAATAATACAATCATTATATAAAATAAATATTAATAATATTAGAATCTCCTACTCAGAAAATAGATCAAGTAAAAACTACCAGTGAGACTTACAGAGGGAAAAACAGACCAATGAGGATTACAAATGCTTTTGCTAGCACAATTATTGTCAAAACAGATTTTAAACTTATCATTTATACTTCATTTTACTTAAAATCTGGTTCTTCTCCTTGCAACTGGCCCCTTATTTCAAGGTAATTCTCTTTTGAAGTTATAGGACAAAACTTGCCTTTGATTTTATCGAGGAACTCACATTTAAGGAGGGAAAAAAGCCAAAGGGGACTATTGGAGAACCCTTCCAGTTCAATGCTGCAGAAAAGGCTCATCCTGTAATCAAAACTTCTCACTTGAGCACTTAAATCCTTGACATTCCTCCACTGCTCATAAAGTGCATTATGCAACATCAGGTTTTGGATAGAGATGATGTCACTGAGTGTTTTTCCAGGGAGAAAACATGCCAGCTTTAGGACACCAACACAGTTATATATATAGAATAAAAAGTTGGTTATGTCCCGTATTTTACTTCTTTTAAAGAAATTATCATTACTTTAACTCTGTCAGATATTTTAAATTCCTTCCTTCCAGTCATCCTGTATGGTTAATTCTCTACTACAGGTAAAACTAAAAAAGGAAAGTCACTGCATCATTTCAACCCAAATATGATGTAAGAGAGGTCAAGCTGTGCTTCCAAATTATTATTATTAATAATAATTTTACTGTTCCTACTTTGCTGACACCACAAAAATGAGTTGTGGCTGGTTATTTAACAGGGGAATCTCCTCAGCAAGGGCTGCATTGTAAGGTAGGAGTAAGTACTCATTAAAAACACCCTGAAATCTCAGTGTTCATTAGCTGATCATGGAGGCTGTGCTGAGGAACTGCAGGCAGTGCTCAGGAGCACAATGCAGATCTTTAATATCACTGCTCTGAGTTCAAACACACACACAGCTTTTCAAATCTCCTCTGCTAACTGCAAAAGGCATAATTAACGTTTTTAAATATCACCTGCACCACCTTCATCAAAACAGTAATTAACTCTCATTCAGCCTGAAACTGAGGAAGTGAAAATAGCACCCAAGTCTGACTTCCTTGCACTGCTCATCCCAGCACTGGAATATTCTGTAGGAATGTTCTGCTGGGAACCATTTCCCCACAGAGGTTGTGGATTCCCATCCCTGAAGTGCCCAAAGCCAGGCTGGGCAGGGCTTGGAGCAGCCTGGGATAGTGGAATTGTCCCTGTGCCTGGAATAAAATGAGCTTTAAGGTCCTTCCAACCCAAACCATCCTGGGATTCTGTGACTTCTTGCTCCAGCAATGGATCTGGAGATCCCTTATCCCTTTCTTACAGCAAAACCCCAAGTGATACAAGTAGGAGACCAAAACTGAGCCAGTGGATGATGCACCAAAGACAAAATGAAACTGCAGCAGGTTTATCAACGTGAGCACCCCCAAATGCCAAGGAAGAAGTGCTGAAGACACAGAGCCTGGTGTCAAAAATCACCGCGTGTAAAAGTCAAATATCACTGTGTGCCATCACAGGGAGAATTTCAACTGGGAAGGAAAGAGGAGATCAAAAAACCAGGTTGCTGATGGACTCATCTATCTGACTACCAATTAACCCCATGGTAAGAAATCAGTGCATTGAGCCAGACTGACCCAAATTGATGCAGAACTGAGGGACAAGTGCTCAGACACAGCACAGACCTGGCTCACTTCAACCACTTCCCTGGAGAGATCAGCTGCCAGCTGCAGCCAGCTGAAAGAATACAAGAGAAAGGCAAACACACAGGGAGGCTCCCAAAAACACACAGAGAGACCCCCAAAACCACACTCAGATCTATCCCCATCTCAGATATCAACAAGCCTCACTATTTTTTTCATTATTTAGTCCAATATTCATTAATTAACAGCAGAAAAATTCAAGTGTAAGGCTTTAAAATCACAGTTTAAGTCAATAGGGTCGCTTGCATCAGTCCTTCCTCTAAACATAATTTTAGGCTCTGCTCTTCAGTCATTTGAACACTCACCTTGGTTATCTCAATTTAAGTCAGAAAGACAAGTAAATGCTTGTAAAGCAGTAACAACAGCCAAGTCTCATTTCCACACTTCTCAGCTGGCTAATTACCAATACTACATCATTTTGGTGCACACAGATATCAATCCTGGCTAATCACCTGCTCACAGAGATTTTTCAAGCTTTTTTTTTCTTTTTTTTTTTGCTCTTCCCCTGTGCCAAGCACAGCAAAATTACCAAGCAGTGCTTTGCAGCTTCCTGAGCACGCAGAGAGAGGAGGTTTTGATTGCTTTGGGTCACCTGGGATTGCAATCCTATTACAGGCAGGTTCAGGGAGATGTGACAGAGGTGTTTGAGTTTACTCACAATGAGCTCTGAGTCCCGGCCCATGGAAATCACAGTTCTGTTCACTGTCCTCAGCAGGTTCTCCATGATGATCTGCACATGGCGCTGTGTGGGGCCCTGAGGACAAGGAATAAATCACTGATAGCCTCAAACACCAGACAGCAGCACAACTGAACCATTTGTGCTGCCTTTCACCCCACCTGTCTGCTGGAAATTCAGTAAAACATCACTTGCTGTTGATCACAAGGAGGGAAGGGCTTTGACAAAGTGTTATTTTGGTAATACGTGTTTCTGATAAATTAAAATGTGCTGTTACAATTCCAATGGAAATGAAGCTTATTACCCATTAATTTTCTTCCCCCAAGTCATTTTTCCAACATCAAACCCCCACAGGCATTACCAGACCCAGGGTGGGGGAGCTGTTCTGCAACAGCTCAATTAAAAGGAAGAGAAAAGCAAAGCCAAACTTTCATTAAGGAACTGCCAATTTCAGTCAATATTAGAAACAATCTACCACTACTTTTGAAAGAGTTCAAATGAAATATTTATTCCATGAAGCTTTTAAGGACAAATCCAGAAATCTCACATGGAGTGATGGGCAATAAAGAAAGCCAAAAACACCACAAGGTGAAAGAAACAGGTGAGCTTTGCTCCCATCTTTTACTTTATGGATGAAAAATAGATTTGCATATTTGAAGGACAATCCACCACCAGCACAAACTCACCCAGGAGCTGGTCCTGCTGCCAGGATCAGCCTGGGAGAGGGTGGAGCTGCAGGTGAGCCCCCACCATGGAGAGAAAAGCAGCCAACAAAGAGAGACAGGAGCAGCCAAGCTGCCAGAACCAAATTCCTCCTGTAAAACACCCCCCTCTCTGAAGCAG